TGCAGCCTCTGAAGGGTGCAGCCTCTGAAGGGTGCAGCCCCTGAAGGGTGCAGCCTCTGAAGGGTGCAGCCTCTTAATTAAGACAAAGCTTCTGACTCCAGATGTGCACGATGTCAGAGCGTTCATATCCAGGATGTTGAGGCTTCATGTCTGGATGGTGGGAGGATGTGGAGTCGTGGCGTCCATCTTTATTGTCGATGGTTTAGAGTTAAAACATTAAAAAGTGAAGAACACGTAGTTGTTGTGATTTGGATTCTGTGATCTGAGCACAGGTCACATGGTGTCGCTGCTCAAGTGTCCGACTGATGTGACATTAAGACGTAAATGAAGCGGGAAAATGTCCCTTGTGGGTTTTTAAAGGGCACGTTGGTGTGTGTGTGTGTGTGTCTGTATGTGTGTGTGTGTGTGTGTGTCTTCATGTGTGTGTGTGTGTGTGCTCACCCCTGACACTTAATGCTCGAGGGTGTGTGACTGACCAGCGCAGAATATCGATTGTCCTTATAAGCTGCTGCACACACACACACACACTGCAGCTGTGTGTGTGTGTGTGTGTGTGTGTGTGGTCCAGGTATTACTCTTGTTGTGGGGACCTAAATCTTTTCTTTCTTATAGGAACAGAAAGCAAGTTTCCATCACTTAGACCATTCAACTGCAGAGTGAAAACTTAAGGTTTAGGTTAAGTTAGGTTATGGTTAAAGTTACAGGTTATGGTTAAAGTTACAGGTTATGGTTAAAGTACAGGTTAAGGCTCGGTTTAGGTTGGTTAGGTTTAGGTTGGTTAGGTTTATGTTCAGGTTGAGTTCAGACTGAGTTTTAGAATGAGGTTAGATTTAGGATTAGATTAAAGGAAGAGGTTAGAGAGTAAGTTTCTGTGAAATCAAATCAATGTGTCAGTGTAATGTCCTGTGTGTGTGTGTGTGTGTGTGTGTGTGTGTGTGTGTGTGTGTGTGTGTGTGTGTGTGTGGGCGTCTCTCTTCTCAGGCCACTCCCGGTGATGCGCGCTGCTGCTGCTGTTCCGCCTCAGACGCGCGGACGGTGTTGGATCTGTGCGCTCCTCTCTCGCTCTCCGCTTCTGTGCGCGTGTGTCGCCCCCGCTCCTCTCCAGATTGGGGGTCGAGGTGGAGACATGTAGCACCGGATTCACCGGATTCACCGGATTCACGGCACCGAGCAGCATGTAGCAGCACCTGGAGCTCCGCGCGCACCGCCTCGCTCCTGCGTCCTCTCCGCTCCCAGCAGCGTTTCCGGGGATTGTCCTGGGTGTGTGAGTGATTCTTTCTCCCGGAGGAGAGAGTGTTCTCCCGCGGCTCCGCACCTCCCGGTCGATGGTCGTTGAGGAAGCTTCCATCTTGAGTCCCGAATCAACCGAGAGAACCATGGCGAGCGACTCCCCGGCGCGGAGTCTGGATGAGATAGACCTGTCTGCACTACGGGTAATGTCTCCCTGCGTGTGCATGTGCTGCTGCTGTCTGTGCGTGCGCGCGTACATGTGTGTGAAGCTGTTGAGCACCTGCCCCCCCCCCCCCCCCCCCCCCCCCCCCCCCCCTCTCTCCCCTCTCCCTCCTCCCTCCTCTCCATCCTCACCCTCCTCTCCAGGCAGCGCGCACGGATGCGTCTACCTGGTCCTCCCGTGCTCTCGGTGGTGTGCATGCGCGAGCACGAAATACAGCCCCGTGAATGTGTGTGTGTGAGAGAGAGAGCGTGCGTGTGTGGCAGCAGAGTGGGATCATGTGGCTCCTGTTGTTTGTTGTTGATGTTTTTTTTTTATAAACAATTGGGACGTGATGTAATGAGGCCCTGAGCTGCTGCGGGCGTGCACACATCCCCGTGCGCGTGCGTCAGGCGGCATAATAGAGGCCGCTCCGTCTGTTCTATGTGGAGCAGATGTTAAGCTCACTGACACGTTCGCAGCGCGCGCGCACACACTGATGCAGAGGTTCCAGATGCACGCACGCGCGCACTCGCACACACCGTGAATAACAGCGATGAAGTTCCGCCATTTCGTGATGTTGTGGCGACAGCAGCAGCAGCAGCATTGCATCACTGAGGCTGTGTGTGGGTCTGTGCGTGTGCGCGGGGACGGAAGGTGCACAGAGGGAAACCGTGCAGGAATGCGTGCGTGTGCTCGTCTGAAACACGGATACACACAACAATGGTACATGCACTCATTTGGATTTAACATGTGCTCAAGATGTAGATCTCACATATGACTGGAGGTGTGTGCGTGTGCGTGTGCGTGTGTGTGTGTGGCAGAGCTATTCTCTTTTCTCCTTCTGCTGCTTACGCAACACAGTTGTACCTGCAGAGCAAGAATCAAGTCTGGGCATGATCAACGGGGTAGGACTGCAAGTCTGAGAGAGTGTGTGTGTCTGTGTGTGTGAGTGTGTGTGTTACAGATGCACACACACACACACACACACACACTGAAGGACAAAGACACAAAGAGAAGAAGGATGTGCACGTTGTTGTAAGAATGTGAATCCTCGCTCTCTCCCTCAGTGACATGATGATTAGAAATTAGGTCACCAAGGAAGGAGCGGAGAGCTGTGAGGAAACACTTCAGCTGATGCAAAGCCTGTCTCAAACACACACACACACACACACACACACCACACACAGCACACACACACACACACACTTCCTGTTTCTGCAGAGCTTCACATCCATCTCCTCAGGTTGACTCGTCTTCACCTCCTCTCACTGTAGCTCCCATCAGGCCTGAAGTCTTGGCTCCACACCGACAGACTCTTATTCTGAAATCTGTCGGAGTCTGTTCCTGTGACACCTCTGGACAGGGACAGTATTAGTCGCCATTAGAGTCTTGACAGCGCTGCCGATGAGGACGGGGAGGTCACGGGCTTGTTCTTCTCTTATGGCCGGTGGCCTCTTCTCTTCTCCGGACTAAATGGAACCTGCTCAGGAGAGTTTCAGAGCTTCAGACTCTTCAGTTCAGTCCAGGGGTGAAAGGTAGCCATCGTGACGTTACCATGGCAATCAGATGAAACTCTTCATTCATTTCCTCCAGGCGCCGCCTACAGACCAGTCGGAGTCAAGTACAGGTAGACGACGCCCACGTAGGTGATGACGACAGGACGTACGAGTGTCAGACAAAATTCTTTGGTCCCTAAATTACAACGTGAAACTAAAAGTCACCTTGGTTCAAAATATATTTCTGTTCAGCTGAGTCTTAAATATGTCTCGTTTTCTGGAGGTAGACTGTAAATACTATATATTAATACTGTAAATATCATACTGTATATGTCATACTGTATATGTCATACTGTATATACTACATGTCACTGGTTGTTAAGTCAATGGTTCAGTTGAAACATCCAAATCAGGAATTTGAAAAGGTCCTGATTGGGCGAATTGCTCATTGGAATTTTGCTCTGCATCTAAATACTTAACGTGCAAACCTGACGTTTGTGCAGAAGCTTAAAGGAGACGGACGTGTTTCTTTCCTCTGGTGCGTCTCGTTTCGTTGTGAAAGTCAATGTTGTGCACAGTCTGCGGTAAAGGAAGCTGTTGAAAAGAAGAGATGGCAGAGGATTCCGTTATCAGGACGAACTCTTGAACACTTCAGTTGTTTCTGTTTCTTCAAATTCGTGCACAATTTCTGGATTGCTCCATTAAATTCCTCGTGCACGAACTTCTTGTGCCGAACATGTAGAGCAACATGTAGTTTATAGTTTTTGAAAAGTGGAACTGACAACATAGAGTTTGAATGAAAGCATATTTCGTGGGAATTGTTCCCCAACTGGACTCACGTTGTCTTTTTGAGAAACATCTGGATGTGCAGAGCTGAACCGCTGCCTCACTCCTGACGTCTCCACCCAGATCCTGCACCTCCGCTGAACATCTGCT